ATGTATTTATTTATTTATTTATGGCTGTGTTGGGTCTTCGTTTCTGTGCATGGGCTTTGTCTAGTTGTGGCAAGCGGGGGCCACTCTTCATCGCGGTGCGCGGGCCTCTCACTCTCGCGGCCTCTGTTGTTGCGGAGCACAGGCTCCAGATGCGCAGGCTCAGTAATTGTGGCTCACGGGCCCAGTTGCTCCGCGGCATGTGGGATCTTCCCAGACCAGGGCTCGAACCCGTGTCCCCTGCATTGGCAGGCAGATTCCCAACCACTGCGCCACCAGTGAAGCCCCGTAATTTAGTTTTGAACTGGTTTATTTTCTAGCCATTTATCGAACATTTAAGTATCCATTGTTTAACAAACACAGTGCTGGTTCAGGGCACACAAAGTTGACAGGAATTCAGTTCTTCCTCATCTAGAGCCTAGAGGGTAAGGAGACAGTCAATGTGTAATTGCAGAGGTGTGATCCTGTGCTCGTACAAAGCCACACACGGGTGCTGTGCATGTCCACACTGAGCTGGGGGGCAGCAAACCCTTAGCTCTGGGAGGTACCTACGAGAGCAGCTGGCACAGAAACAAAGTGCCCAAGGCTTTCCACATCCCCAGCTTCCTCCCGCAAGATTTGATCATGTATTCTCCTAAAGAGAGAAAGGTATGGGGTAAGGGAGGGATAAGGGATGCTTGCCACACCTCGGCCCCAAGGACTGAGCCTTATCGCAAAGTGTCTGAGTGTAATCTCGTGTTCCAGTCTACTGTCCACGCGGTGGCATTTATTTTCCAACCTTGGCATCTTAGTACAGGTGAACAGCTCTGTGGGGCACATGCCATCGTTCCCTGCGACACCCGTACCCTCCCTCCGTGTACGAACTCCTCACCCCCTCCCAGAGCCCTGCAAGCTGAACTTGATGCACTTTAAAGGTTAGATGCACAGCCTCTAATTTCAGAGGATTGTGGCCACACCGTTGGCACACACAGCAGCGCCCTTTGCCACAGGGGCCTCAAGGTGATAGCTCGGGTCACCACACCCTCTGTGCCTTGTTGAAGCATTCCCTTGTTTTGAGACCACCGTAGAATTCTGAGCAAGGCAGTTCTGCAGTCGTGGAGTAGAGCGTCCCACGTGAAGCCACAGAGGAGGCTCCATGCCTTCCCACAGGTTGTTGTTTTCTCTAAGGAGGCGTCGCGAAGGCCACCGTGTGGAGGGGCAGCCCGGGAATAAAGGCAGTTTAGAGGGAGTCTGGGCTGAGAGAGGGAGAGAAGCTGGCCCAGTAGGTGTGATGGCATTTCTTGAGCCTGGGGATGCAACTGCGACCACCCCTGGCTCACTCTCACACCGCACCCACCGTTTGCTCTTTGTTTTCTTAAGTGAGTTAGAACCGAGTTTCTAAATCTTGCAAGCTAAACAGATCTCACTAATGTAAGGGCCTTTTCCATTGCACCTGTTTTCTCTCTGTTAGAAATACGCTAGAAGAACCAACGACTTGAAGTAAAACTGGGTGACTCTTCTTGCATAGAGCTGTGATGGTACTTTTGTGATTATGTTCATTTATTTATTTTTTCATTTGATTTTCTGGCCGCACTGTGCAGCATGCCGAATCTTAGTTCCCAGACCAGGGATCGAACCTGTGCCCCCTGCATTGGGAGCGTGGAGTGTTAACCACTGGACCGCCAGGGAAGTCCCTTGGGTGACTCTCTTCTAAATGGAAGAATACTTTTTTCGAAAAGTATATGAGTTATATATGTAATATATCTTCTGTTATATATGTATATATATGCAAATGTATGTATGTAACCATACTGGTGACATTTGAAAACAATTCAAAGCTAGGCGTCCTTAAGAAGTGTAATTTACTTGAGATTGGAGACATCTGAAAGTGTACACTATAGATCATCTTAACATGGCATAGAAACTAAATATCAAGCTATTTCTATTAGAAAAAACATTAAAAAAATGTAACCTGTATGTATAAGCTTTGTTTTAATTTAATATGTGAAAGGTTCCAAATATAATATACACTGAACTGAGAGATCAAGGTAGAAGGATTTTCTGAGTGTTTCTGTTATTGTATTAGAATTACTTAATTACAGTGCTTGCAGTTGATATTCTGCATGAGTGTGAGATAGAGCAGAGAAGCTTTCAAAATGTTCATACTTAACAGATATCTTTTATACAAAGGGGGTTTTAGATCTTTGGTAGCCAGGTGTTGGTGGTGTGAAGTGATGGTGGGAGTGGGATACCAAATGCTTGACAGAGGAGTCCTAAATATTTTTAAAAGCCCAATAAAAGAAAGTCTGTATTCTCTCTGCCCTGTTTTCTTTGTTGCTAAACAGCTCTGCCCTTGACCTGGCCGCTTGTGGTCCACAATTGGTACAGATGGTCGGGAATAGTCCTTCTCGTTACCCTTCAGATAATTACCTTCCTGGAGGGGATTATTGGGGAAATAATATCCGTGTCAAACAAGTGATAGCACTGAGTGATAAACAGAATGTCAGCTTTGGTGCCGTATGCTTCATCAGATTCACCAAAATACTACTCTGTTTTAATTTGGAGTACAGGATCTGATCATTACTGATGCTGTCATCAAAAGAAACAGCCTAATTGCCAAAACATCCAATTATCTAATCACCTCACTTCAAAGGGAGAAAATAAGAATTCTGGTGTATTTTGTTTCTGCATCTACTCCTATTTGCTGGAAGCTTATTATTAATAATTATGACACCTGTTGAGGGCCCATTCCATGCCAGTCCTTTGTACCCATTATCTCATATAACTTTTACAACGGTGCTGACAGACCTTCCTCCTCTACAGTGGTTCAGAAGTGAATTAATGAGCTAGTAAGTTCTTATTATGTGCCCAGGATCGTGCTCTTTGGCCCTTGACGGGTCGCAGAATCTTGTTATTCCTTCAGTCCTTTCTTTGGTCAGAATTTGTAATTGGTTTTCACATTTAGGCATTTATAATTTTACTAAAAAGTGGTAAAAGTGTTTAATAAATGTGATGTATAAATTTATAACATTTAGGAAACTTGTTTGCATCTGGAAAAGAAAAAAGAAAAAAAGCAAGTGTAGCAATTAACTCAAGCTACCCTTTCTGCATTTATCAATTACAGCAGTAAGTCACTCTGATTACTCCTTTTCCTGGAAGCTGTGTCATAAAGTAGGTTATTGTAAAGAGAACATAATTTCCA